ATATATATATATATATATATCGGTTAGGAGTGATTTAAAAAAAAAAAAGAATTTGCCTAAATAAAAAAAAATTAGGTTTATATATTTTTTAAAAATAAGACTAAAAATAAAAAATATATATTAACGTGGTAAACGGTGGTAAAAAGTTGATATGTATGAAAATAACTAAAATTATATGATCACAAAGGCCGGATCGTAACTTATTAAGAAATACGCAATATAACTTTTTTTTTTTAAATAAAAGTGTTTACTGTTAATAAAGATTTATATTGCTTTGTATCTTTTTTGGGATTAAAGAGAGAGTCCTATTTGTTTATTATTAATTAATTAACTTTTTAGATATATTATTTAATATGTATAATCACCATTTAATTTTTTTTTTTAATATTCAGAATACTTTAATATTTTTTTAAAAAAAAATAATTTGTCTGCAGCGTTGTTCGTTTCGTGTTGAACGACCTGGTAAAATAATAATTTTCCGAAGTGGCGGCCAATAAATAAGGTAATTTTATTTTCATTACCTAGTCTATTTAAGTGATAACATATTTCAGCTATATTCCTTTCTTAAGTCTGATATTATTAATGTTTCGATCGTAATGAGCCAGGAAAACCAGTCCTATGTTATTATGATATATATATTTCTATATTCATCTGCAATTATTCGAGAAAAGTATTTCTAATAAAAGACATTAAAGTAATAAAATCCCTCTGAATGAAAGTAATAATGGCTAGAATGAAATTGAGTTTGCGTCTTTTTTATGACCGCCACCTCAGACCATCTCCTTACTCAATAATATACCACGGCCAACCATCAAGTATTCAATATATCACCACAAATGTTTTATATTTTAGCTAAACTGTTTTTACTGCTACAGTGGTCAATAGTAGAACCAGTAGAGCTAAAAAAAAATATTACGAATTTATAAAATTCGTGATAAATATATTACAACCTAAATCATTTTCAACGAATTATAAAATATACATATATATATATATATATGTATATATATATATATATATTATATATATATATATATATATATTTATGATTCATATTGATATATTATAAATATGTTTAGTTGTAAATATTATTCAATATTTATTGTAAAATAATGCAAATCGAATAAATTTTATTCAAAAGATTTTTCAGTATTGAAAATGCATATTTTTTTATATATGAAACGAAATAAACTTGTTTATTTTTCGTGCTTCAATATATCTACCATTCTCTACTAATGTGTTTATCATGTACATACTTTTCCACACTACTGGCGTGGGCCTTTGATAAAATCCTTTCATACCTTCAATCTCTCGTGAACGTATTACTCATTCTCCCTACTTAGTATTAACGTTAACAACTTTCTGTTTTTTTTTTTTTTTGGCAATGATAAGTTCCAGATATACAACAATTGAATTTACATGTTATCGTTTCGGGAAGTTTACTCCCATCTTCAGAAATTACGATGCCGTATTTTCTTATCGATGCATGGCTTAACACTATATAATATCGAGAGCATCAACATTCCTATAGACCAATAATTTGCTTCCGAACAAAAAGATGAATTATTAACTGTATATGGAGGACATCATTACTTCATTAATTATCAATACAAGAATGTTTTTGATTAAGATTTCGGATAAATTTTACAATTAATTGTCATTTTTAGATATAATTATCGAGATATTTTGAGCTGCCATATTTTCGTACTGCGCATGACTAATTTTAATCAGTTCGATATCTTGAAAACAGTTATATATTTTTTTTTATGAAAATCAAATTTCATAAAATTTTGAAATTATTGAACAAGTCAGGTGCTTATATTTGAAAATTTGTTGGGTCAAAAAAAAAGTCATTACGTGGCATTTCATAACCTTGAAACAATAATAAATTTTCTATACGTGAAATCAGAAAATCGTCCGCTTGTAACTAACGCTTGTTCTTAAAGGCCTAACTCTGGGGAGGGGAGGGGTTGATTTTAGATAAAATTTTCAACAAAAAATTTATTTGATGCATGAACCGATTCCGAACGGAAAAGGAATTAAGACCAATATTGTATTTTTCTTAAGGTGGTCACTTTTTTATTGAATATGAAGGAATTGTCCAAAAACTGTTCAAGATAATTAAATCCGAAGTACATCATCATAAAGTAAACGATTTTTTTTGTTGAGAAAATTGTTATTAAATTTACTAAAGTCAATGATAAAAGGGACTTTCAGGAGTTCTAATATGGCCGCTGTATTGCTGTCGTTACACTACCCGTACACGAGCAGCATATCTTTATATTTCGGGTTCTTACGCAGCACTTTGTCTAGAATCACTTGGCCATATAGAACTCGGATACCCTCTATAATTTTTTTTTTTTTTTTTTTTCAAAATCTTAATAAAAATCCTATTTTGCCGTAAAAATGTTTATATCATTTTTGTGCACTTTATGTTTAATTTTTTTTTAATGATAAATAAGTTCTGAAATCGGCAAAAACGTTCTTGAAAATGTACTTAGTGCCTTTTCCAATAATTCTAAGACATATTATCATGTATTAAACATATTTATCCATTTATTCGCCTTCTGATGCGCATACAACTCGTCCCGTGAAAAATTTCAATTTTTTTTATTTTGTTATAACAAATATAAAACTTACGAAAACTTAGGTAAAATGAGTGTGTAACTTAAGTAGGAGAATATTTCTTGAATTAGTGAAACATGTATTAAAGCAAAAGCAAGTTTTTTTTTAGAGATTTTAGTTTTTAGATGAAGAGTGTCAATATTTTTATGAAGGTATGAACCAAAGAAATATTGTTAATATTTCAACGCTCGTCCCGTGAATAAATTTTAATTTTATTTCTTTTGTTATTACAAATATAAAATTCACGAAAACTTAGATAAATTAATGTGTAACTTACCGTTCCATAGCTTTTAAAACTTATAATTTTCAAAAAAAAATTGGAGATGCATAGTGGTCTGATGAAGTGGAGTGATGCATTTTCAAAAAAAAAAAAAATATTTTTTTCTAAAGTGCTTATCCGTATATATGTATAAAAACAAACAAATCACTAAGGAGTGATTAAAAAAATGAAGATTTTGCCTAAATGAAAACAATTAGGTTTATGATTTTTTTTTAAATAATACTAAAAAAAAAATTATATTAACCTGGTAAACGGTACATAAGGTGAATTCATTGAAAATAACAAAAATGGTATGACGATTTAGGCCGGATCGTTACTTATAAAGAAATATGTAATATAACTATAGTTTTTTTTAAATAAAAGTTTCTACTGTTAATAAAGATTTATATTGCTTTGTATCTTTTTCTGGGATTAAAGAGAGGGTCCTATTTGTTTATAATTAATTAATTAACTTCTTAGATTGAAAATTATGTTACATATATATAATCACCATTTAATTTTTTTTAAATATTCAGAATACTTTAATGATTTTAAAAAAATAATAATTTGGTTGAAGCGTTGTTCTCTTCGTGTTGAACAACCTGGTAAAATAATAATTTTCCGAAGTGGCTGCTAATAAATAAGTGTCAATGGGGGAACTCGGCTGTTTCGTGTCTTCTCTCTCTAGTACCTATGGAGTCTTCACGCCTTAAATCCTTCAAAACAAGAAATGGCTTACCTTCTTCCACTACACGGCGATGGAGTTGGTAGTTTCTCGTACGTTCATTTTCTCAAAAAGAAATATCTCCTTTGTGTCCCATTTACGGACAAATTGTTTCATTTAATACAAAATGTGCATTGAAGGAGCAAAAACTATAATTTTATATCATATTTTATGACTGTATTAAACAATAATATACAAAATACATACTAACTCAACAAAATTAACTGACTATAAAAAATAAGTCAATTATTTGAATATATTCGATTCGTTATTAAAATCGGTATCAGTAAACTGAGTGTATGCCGGAGAACCTGAATTTCTTAGTCTCCGCGTATTCTACCCCATTACGAGCTTGAATTGCGGTGTACTTTGGGCAAAGTTGACTAGACTTGATAATTATTTTTACTTAAACCCCGAAATAGCTTAAGTTGCTCATTCTGTATTTTAATCGTTTTATAATTTCTGATGACTTCGTATACATGGCACTTTACAGACTTTTCTCCTCCGGACCTAGTAAAGGATGTACCTCATACTTCTAAGATTTCTTAATATTAGTCCGTAATGCAGACCCCTTTTTTAATCAAATTATTAAATGCCGTATAAAATCATCTTATCCCATCGTAACCTACAGCTTATTTATTTACGAAAATTCTCGGAAATGGGAAGTTTTCTATCCGGAGGTCGGTTAACTTTTTCTATTTGATGAGGTAAAAAAAAACCGATAAACTCCCATTTCCTTTCCACTCGAATCGTAAGACGATTTGATCACAAAATCGAGAAAAAAAAGTTTGCTTATGAAAATACATCAAATGTCAAAACATCGAGATTATACAGTCCAAACGGTCTAATATTTTTGTGGACCTCATTCTTTCTCGAATTATCTTACGATTCAAGAATAAATGGGTATTCATTACTTTTCAGTACAACATTAAATTAACTAATTTATCCTCACTATTGAGAATTTTCTTAAATAAAAAAATTGTAGGTTAAGATAAAAAAAATACCTCTCGTTTCAAACCTTGCTTCCTCCTCGATCCCTGATTACCCTCCGAGGCCTCTGAAAAGAAGATGGCCACGGGATCTTCTAATATAGAACTTTAATTTGAGTTCTACCAATGGGTAGTTTCTCTTCATGCTGTACATGTCATGTTACAAATATCACATTTACTTGTTGTATTTTTCATGTAATACAGTTGTAAATTTCATTAAAATAAAAAAAAGATAAAATGAAGCCCTTCACGAAATTTTAGAGGGATATTAATAATTTGATAAAAAGGGATCTGTAGCGCGAACTATATAGATATTTTTTGGGGGAAGGAGGAGGGTAAGTTAAGTTGAGTCTAATATCTTACCTTTGGGTCTTTTACCTGCTATTAATATTGAATTTATTTTTTACTGTTGTTTTCTATTCCTGCAAAGGAAGTTACGAAATAATTTAAGTTGGATGTGATGTTTTGTAGAATTTGAATAGTGTTTGATTATGTTATAAAAACGCTGATTTTTTTTTTTTTTTTTCATTAAACGATTGGTGTGTATCCCGCGAGCTATCGGCGCCTCCAGAAGGAGCTCCTGAGGAGACGCCGGAAGAAGTCTTCTACCGAGTCTCCTACGTACCTGAGCGTATCTGTCGACGACTCCTTCGCCGAGATTGAGCGCTGTTCCAGCGGTGCAGTTCTCTCCGAGCTGCTGCTGTGACTCGACGATCCTCAAAAATCGGGTGACGATGTCACCGTGGTGACTCCTGACAGGCGGGGGTTCGGTGGCTGGGCCTTCGTAGTAATCGCCGGAGCGCTTGATCTGTCGCCCTCGGGTCCTTCCATGACGGCTGTGTCGGAGGAGCGCAGACACGGCAGCGAAGAGAAGGAGGACGGCCAGAGCGGTTGCCGCTACCCGGCACATGTCTGCGGCGGCACTGACTCCTCCGAGCTGAGCCTCTCTCTCGCGCCGGCGCCCCCTCCCTCCAGCTCTTCTAATTAGTAGTATCGCCGTTCCACTGTCTCAACAATTAACTCGCCTCATCGGACCATCCTTCCCATCATACTTTTCCTCTAAGCTCAGAAGAAAATGATGGCAATCGTACTCGTAAGTTGACAATTTTTCTTGACCGACTTTATGACATTTCGTCACCTCATAAAACCTCTCAATATGCGTTATTTCGTACATTTGCTATATTGAACCTCTTTGGAAGAGAAAAAGATATATTTCTAATTAGTCATATCTTAATTGTGTAGTTTAATTCTGTTAAGTCATTAAAATGCAATTTTTTTTATAAAACGTGACTTATATGTATTTTTACCTAGGACTCCACCTGGACAAACGTCTAACATGGAATCCTCATGCCAGACTGAAACGACAAGAAACAGCTCGACGTTTCCGACTACTTCAACACTTACTAGACAAACGTTCTAACCTTCCAATTTATTACAAAAGACTCATTTACATGACTATAAATAAGGCCTATTTGGACTTAAGGAGTTGAGCTTTGAGGCTCCACTAAACCATCGAATTCCTCTTGTATCCAATCTTTACAATCCCAAAACCTTCGTAAAATCCTTAATGCTCCTTAATTTGTTACAAATAAAATCATCCATAATAATCTTAATGTTTCTTATGTTTCAGATCTGGCCCAATCCAGATGCCTATCCTTTCAGAATCAACTTCAGAATGATTCCAACCCTCTCGTTTCTAATCTTGCTTCCTCTTCAATCCCTGTAGAGGATTATCACTCTACAGGTCTTGTCATGTCATGTGTTTATCTGTATCACATTTCGTGAATGTATATTAAATGAACAGTTGTAAATTTCATAAATAATAATAAAAAAATATATATATTAAAAATATTAAATCGAGAAGGGAAGAAATAATATTGTGCCGAACGCGAATTGGATCCTCTTTTCACACACGGATACCTTCTTAGAAGTTTCGAAGCCAACCTGCTGTTGAGCTATGGGGCTCCACCAAACCTTCAAATTCCTCTCGTATCCAATCCTTCGTAAAATCCTCAATGCTCCTTACATTGTTACAAATAAAATCATCTACAATGACCTTAATGTTCCTTATGTATCAGATTTGGCCCAATCCAGATATCTTTCCTTCCATAATAAACTTCATAACCACCCTAACCCTCTTGTTTCTAATCTTGCTTCCTATTTAATTCCTGATAACCCTCGGAGGCGTCTGAAAAGAATATGGCCACGTGATCTCCTAATATAGACGTATTATTAGAGTGCTACCAATGGGTAGTTTCTCAACATGTGTTTCATGTCATTATATCCATGTGCGAATTTACTAGATGTATTTTTTTATACAGTTGTAAATATCATATAAATAAAAAAATAAAAAAAATATATTTATTTTAATAAATATTGACGAGATCTCTTCAAGTGAGGGACATATTCCAGATCCGCTTTTTCAAAACAACATATATATTTGGGAATTCGGTAAGGTGATAAAGAGGTTTGTAAACGTCACTCACTACCTTCGTAGTTCTAAGAGGGAGCGATGGCCGAGCGAGCTAACGCGTGTACACACCGCGTTGCTCTGTAACGTGATAATTGAATAAAATTAGATAAAACGACTTCACGTCGGGGAGGGGAGCGGGGAGCTTTTAACTCTAGCATTAATCTCCCCCTTAATTATTAGCATTAAAACCGCCCTCCCCCCCTGGCCCGGGAAAACCCCGTATAGCCTATAAAGTCGAAGACTAAAAAATACTTAGTAGTTCTAGATAAATTGAGTAAAATTTGTTCCACAAAAGACTTATAATTCAGAAGTATTCGTGTATGAAATTTCAGATTTACCCGCTCCGTTCTAGACCTCCAGCACCCATCTTCAGAACTTTTGGTTCCGTATCCAGATATTCAGTTTCCGTCTTCAGAAACTGAGGAGACATTCGGTAAACATCAAGAAGTGATTCTTCCAGAACCGTTTCTACGTTGATCAAATAGACCTGCCAGAATGCCTGCACGCTTCTGTATTTAACGGAGAGATCACTGAGTCATGTATCGTGTAATTAATTGAAGTAACATTTATTTGTGTGGGAGAGACTGTTATGTATAGGTTTTTAAAAAAAAATGATATATTATTAATTAGTCATATGTTAATTGTGTAATTTACTTCTGTAAGGTTATAAAAATTCAAATTTATAATACGTGACTACATTTATTTTTTATTTTAGATTGAAAATACAATAGTTATAAAACTATCGATGCCAGTAAAATATGATAATACAAATATCAATGCCGTCGAATCGGATGACAACGGCAAGTTTTTGAAATCTTTGTGACGTATTTTGTAAATACATAGGAGTGAGAAAGGTCTTTACACCTTAGATTATAAAGAATAGAAAAGGCTTCTAGGTTACGCTTAGTTAATAATTAAGTGTATATTTTTTTATTTTGCAAAAAAAGTGGAGCTAAGTTTTTTTTAGAAAATGAACTTTAATAACAGCTTCTGTGAAGAAGCGTAATCGTTCCCGATATGTATATTTTTTTTTTTTTTTTTTTTATTGAGAAATAATACATTTTGCCACATTTAAAGGTACTGACTACTAAAGCTGAGTGAGGCCCATTCATACTATATATACAATGCAATAAAAAAATAAATAAAAATAAAAAATAAAAATATATATCTATATAACAAAGGTAAAAACTATAAAACCAAAGAAATGTAACTTAAAATCAAATTAAAAAAAAAATACAGAAATTGGTAGCAAATTAAACAAGTCATAAGTAAAACAAATAAATATATAAAAAAGAAAAACATTCATACTTAATACATAAAAAATACAAACATTCATACTTAATATATAAAAAAGAAAAACATTTATACTTAATTTACAATATTTACAATCAGCCTAGGGGGCTCCGAGTCCAGCCCTTCCCTCCACGTGTGAAGGACAAAGCGAGACTCTAAGAGATCCCAGCGCTTCTCTCTCAGCCGCGTCACCGGCAGGAGTCCAGTGGAAACTGAGAGAGGGAAACATTAGACCGATATTAGACAAAATCCAATATCTCGACTCCTTAATAACCTTAATAAATGATTCTGACCAATGGTAGAAAATAGACCAGCGTACAAAAAGCATATACAGAGATTTATTTTCTCCCTCTTTCAAAGGTATTAAAATCCTGAACTATCTCTATAAATCTCAAATTAAGGTTGTAAAACGCTATGATAAAGCCAGATCTCGTATACAGCTGCGAGACGAGAACACTAAGCAGCACCCTAGAAAGAAGTATACCAGTTTGAGAGAAAAATCATCCGCATGATAACCGGAGCAATCGAGGATCAGAGTACAAACGCTTGAAAGAGGAAGGCCCATAAAGAGCTGCTTTCAGAAGCTGACCAATCAATATCTCATGAAGGCAAGGAAGTTAAGATGGGCGGCGCATGTAGCTCTGAGCAATCCATCACGAAGACTCTAAACACAATGAATCAGACATGTAATAGAAGTAATCCAATATAGACAAATATGGAGAAAGCTGGTAAGGTTGGCAAGAGATCAACAAGATCTGTAATGCCAACAACAGAAAAAAAATAATATTCTAGGGCTAGGTTTCTTAAGAATAAGTACAATCGTACCGATAAATAGAATACAATACTGCCGAAAAATAACCTAATTAAAGTTCAATAAGTGTAAAAATAATAATAACGTCAGCCAAGTAAGGTCAGCATAGCTTCATCACTGTTTCCATTGGCTGCAGAATTAAAAAGGTTTTTTTTTTACTTATCCATACTTAGACAGATTGTAATATTTCTCAATAAAAAAGTTAAAAAAAAAAAACTTATTGATTTATGATGATGGGTCACTACTTGTGTAGTTTTTAAATTTATTTTATATTTATATGTATATACACCATTATAAATAAATAAATAAATAAATATATATATATATATATATATATATATATATATATATATATATATAAGGATGTAATCCATTGGATTATTATTAAGAAGAAAAATCTCACTACCACCTTTTGTAATTCATTATGTTGATGGAATATAACTATAAAGTATAATTTTAATGTTTTGTGGCTTGTTATAGATAACTTGAAAATGAGTAAAAAAAACTCTAATCTTAATAGCCAATGTTATGGCTAGAATAAATAGTAAAATTATAATGGCTTATCAATCCTTGAGGACACAGTGTATAAAAGTTTAGTTCTTTTTTACGAAGTTATCGATGAATAATATTTAAATGAGTTGGAGAAAAAAAGTTTAGAACTCAAATTTATTATCAGAAGGAGAAGGTTATGATTTAAAATGTGCCGATTTCAATGATTTTATTATTTTTTTTTTCATTTATGATATTTACAACTGTATTAAGAATAAGAATACATTCAGTAAATGCGATGACAGAAAATAATAACATAAAAACACTTGTTGAGAAACTACCCACTGGTAACACCCTAAAAATGTATTTACAAAAGGAGATGTCGAGGCCATCTTCATTTCAGACGCTTCGGATTATGAATTAAGATTATTAGGGATCAAAGAGGAAGCAAGGTTAGAAACGAGAGGATTCGGATGGTTATGAAGTTGATTATGGAAGGATAGGTATCTGGATTGAGACTAATCGGAAAGATATCGAACGTTAAGGTCTTTATGGATTATTTTATTTGTGACAAAGTACAGAAGTTTACAAAGGATTTTGGATTGTAGGGATTGGATAAGAGACGAATTTGATGGATTAGTGAAGCCCTAAAGCTCAACTCCGTAAGTCCAAATAGGTCTTATTGTAGTCATGTATATGAGTATTTTGCAATTAACTGAAAGCTTAGAGCGTTTGTCCAGTAAGTGCTTGAGTAGTTGGAAACGTCGAGCGGTTTCTTGTCGTTTCAGTCTGGTATGGGGATTCGAAGATAGACGTTTGTCCAGGTGGAGTCCAAGGTATCGGA